GTCATAGTCTTTCTGTGCTTCTCCTAGCTTTGCTGGCCATCTGACAAAAGGTTCATCGCGTATTTCGCTCAGAATCCGGTAGATCGGTTTCTTGAATACCGTGGTTATGGCTGTGCGGATGCTCAACCATCTTTTATCCTGGTCCTCTCCGTTGTCTCGTCTGCCTCGTCCGTTTTTGTTCAGACGTTCTACCGCGTTGATCTTTGCTGTGGTCTTTTTATCTGGTACTGCGGTCGTGCCAGATTTTGTTTTAGCACGGGTGCCATCCTCTTCTACCCTGATGTGCTGATGCACCCTTTCCATCAATGCCTCCATGGTGAGGGGCGGTGTCATGGTGATTGAGTCCCTTAGTTTGTTTCCGACTGGAAGGCCTCTTTTGTACTGTGCAATGGCGAGATTGGTGGGGCAGTCCCCAATCTGGTTGAATGTCTCCCAGTAGCAACTATTGTAGGATCTTAGTATCTCCTTTTCACCCATGTTGATGGAGAGTAACTGGTCAATCTCCACTGGGGTTTTGGTGTTCGTTCTGAACCTCGTGACGAACCCCTCTGCTAATTGTGCCCAGGAGGCTATGCTGCCTTCTGGAAGTTTTTTGAACCAAGTTAAGCCTAGGTCACCAAGGCTTGATGGGAAGAGGATGCACATCAAAGCCTCGTTTCGCCGATATACCGCCATAACCTGGCGGAAGCGGCTTAGGTGTATGTAGGGGTCTGTCTTCCCCTCGTAGGTGGTGAATTTGGGTTGAAGGAAACCTGAAGGAAGGGGCGCGTTTTCAATTGTTGGAACGAACGACGATGTCTGCAGCCTTGCTAATGCTTTGTCCGTTGGTTCGTAGGCAGGACGTGGTGATGGCATTTCGACTTCGACGCTTCCATGCGTCCGAGGAGCCAACCGCTGAAGGGCACATACCCTGCGAGGGTTGCGCGCCCTAGTATCCTCCTTCCTTCGTGCCTTTTCTTCCAACATGTTCCGCAAATCGGACGATCTTGGCAACTCCGTCTGCCTGGATGATGTCTGGTGCGAGCGTGAGGGTCGATAGGTACTTCCCTCAGAGTAAGACCTCAATGATCTCGTTCTCTCAGACCTGGAGTAACGAGTTCTGGAGGTTCTGGATTGCGTATCGCCTGTCCTGAGGCTTCTACTCTCTGCTTGTGATGGTGTGTAATACCTTCCACGGTCTTCTGAGCGGCGAGGAGACGTCTTGCTTTTGCGCCCCTCTCCTGTCGCCACTCCTTTTCCCTTCATCTGGCGCTTCATGGCCTCCAAGTCCGCCGCCATCTTTCTTATTAATTCATCTTGCTCCTTCTCACGGTCCTCCAGAACTTGAGGGTCAATCCTCCGCTTTTGTTTGTCAGGACTTCGTGAACGAGAGTGACGAGGGCTGTTAGTCCGCCTCCTCCCCCTTGTATCCCTCCTGGGATTTTGTCGCTGTGGTTTTAAGTCCGCCATGGGAAGGATAGAAGGTAGGCCTTCGCGTCTTGCCCTCCTTTCTGGTGTTTGTCCGATGATGGCGGACTGTGGCAAATCTTCGTTGTGCACCATTGTTTCTAAAGAGGAAAAGCTTGATCAAGAGGTTTTGTTCTTGTCTGAATTCCCACAGACGACGCCAATTGTACGGGAAAGAAATAAACCTTCTCGTATAATCCCGTTGATCAAGTCCGCGTTCCTCCAAACGTCGTCGCTTTACTCCCTGAAAACACAAACGTGAGCTAACCGGCGGATGTGTGCCGGAAACCCCTCCGATGCCTAAGTCAGCAAATAGACAAGTAGACAAAAGCTCTGCGTATTCAGGAATCAAAGTTGTGTTACTTCTCCATAGGTGATATTGGTGAGCCTTTATAGGTTCCGTGTGGCACAATCCAAGTAGGACTCTTACTCCTCCATGTAGAGTCCTCCTAGGATTCATACTCCTGAAGGATAATGCTTATCCTTCAACACCCCCCTCACTGCTTAAACCAAATGAGATGGTTTTATCATGGTCGGACTACCATACAACCAAAATAACATTGTCATGCTAGACTAACTAGAGTGACCGATCTAACTTTTAGTTCGGCTCTTCCTTGCTATTCTCCTACCTCGGCTTCATATGCCAAGACCGAGCTATCCATAGAAGAGTTTAAGCCGAACTAACCCAAAACCAAGTCCTGAAGAGGGCTCAGTATACTTCGGTTCCCTATGCCATGACCGAACTAACTGTAGCGACCGAACTAACCATACTGCGACAACCGGTACAAGTTTTAGTATGGTGACCAAGCTAACCTCTTTGGGACCGGAGTAACTTTATGGCATTTTTACTCAACCCTTCGCACTGAGGCCCACAACGGCCCAACTCGACCCAATTTACATATAAATTCCCCTCTCAAGTTGTTATTACGAGGGAATTATTTAACGAATGGGAAAAAAAAATTGATAAAATTGAAGAAGACAAGATATTTTTATTTATTTTTATTAATTTCAACGCTTTTTTATATTTTTTTTTAAGCACCTTCTATATCAATCTCATTAATGAATATCCTACGATCTTGTTACGATGTCTGCAGCCTTGCTAATGCTTTGTCCGTTGGTTCGTAGGCAGGACGTGGTGATGGCATTTCGACTTCGACGCTTCCATGCGTCCGAGGAGCCAACCGCTGAAGGGCACATACCCTGCGAGGGTTGCGCGCCCTAGTATCCTCCTTCCTTCGTGCCTTTTCTTCCAACATGTTCCGCAAATCGGACGATCTTGGCAACTCCGTCTGCCTGGATGATGTCTGGTGCGAGCGTGAGGGTCGATAGGTACTTCCCTCAGTGTAAGACCTCAATGATCTCATTCTCTCAGACCTAGAGTAACGAGTTCTGAAGGTTCTGGATTGCGTATCGCCTGTCCTGAGGCTTCTACTCTCTGCTTGTGATGGTGTGTAATACCTTCCACGGTCTTTTGAGCGGCGAGGAGGCGTCTTGCTTTTGCGCCCCTCTCCTGTCGCCACTCTTTTTCCCTTCATCTGGCGCTTCATGGCCTCCAAGTCCGCCGCCATCTTTCTTATTAATTCATCTTGCTCCTTCTCACGGTCCTCCAGAACTTGAGGGTCAATCCTCCGCTTTTGTTTGTCAGGACTTCGTGAACGAGAGTGACGAGGGCTGTTAGTCCGCCTCCTCCCCCTTGTATCCCTCCTGGGATTTTGTCGCTGTGGTTTTAAGTCCGCCATGGGAAGGATAGAAGGTAGGCCTTCGCGTCTTGCCCCCCTTTCTGGTGTTTGTCCGACGATGGCGGACTGTGGCAAATCTTCGTTGTGCACCATTGTTTCTAAAGAGGAAAAGCTTGATTAAGAGGTTTTGTTCTTGTCTGAATTCCCACAGACGGCGCCAATTGTACGGGAAAGAAATAAACCTTCTCGTATAATCCCGTTGATCAAGTCCGCGTTCCTCCAAACGTCGTCGCTTTATTCCCTGAAAACACAAACGTGAGCTAACCGGCGGATGTGTGCCGGAAACCCCTCCGATGCCTAAGTCAGCAAATAGACAAGTAGACAAAAGCTCTGCGTATTCAGGAATCAAAGTTGTGTTACTTCTCCATAGGTGATATTGGTGAGTCTTTATAGGTTCCGTGTGGCACAATCCAAGTAGGACTCTTACTCCTCCATGTAGAGTCCTCCTAGGATTCATACTCCTAAAGGATAATGCTTATCCTTCAACACCCCCCTCACTGCTTAAACCAAATGAGATGGTTTTATCATGGCCGGACTACCATACAACCAAAATAACATTGTCATGCTAGACTAACTAGAGTGACCGATCTAACTTTTAGTTCGGCTCTTCCTTGCTATTCTCCCACCTCGGCTTCATATGCCAAGACCGAGCTATCCATAGAAGAGTTTAAGCCAAACTAACCCAAAACCAAGCCCTGAAGAGGGCTCAGTATACTTCGGTTCCCTATGCCATGACCGAACTAACTGTAGCGACCGAACTAACCATACTGCGACAACCGGTACAAGTTTTAGTATGGTGACCAAGCTAACCTCTTTGGGACCGGAGTAACTTTATGACATTTTTACTCAACCCTTCGCACTGAAGCCCACAACGGCCCAACTCGACCCAATTTACATATAAATTCCCCTCTCAAGTTGTTATTATGAGGGAATTATTTAACGAATGGGAAAAAAAAAATTGATAAAATTGAAGAAGACAAGATATTTTTATTTATTTTTATTAATTTCAACGCTTTTTTATATTTTTTTTTAAGCACCTTCTATATCAATCTCATTAATGAATATCCTACGATCTTGTTAGGATTCGTTGACAAATATCCTTAATGATATTTTTATCTTGTTAGAAGGTTATTGTCTTTAAATGTTTTTAGCATCTACTTTTCCAGTTGAGTAATGTTACATTACAGGCGCCAAGAGATGACCGAATAAATGATCAAACATTTAGATGGACTGCCACCTAAGGTTAGTGGGTCCCACCACTAAACAACTCTTCTTCTCTCCCAGACACAACACGTGAAAAGAAAAAAAAAAAAAAAAAAAAAAAATTGAAAATCAATTTTTGTGAAGAACAAGAGTTTGTTCTCTGTGAAGATACCAGGAGCTTCCAAATCATTATTATTTTTTACGGAGCAACAAAAATCAACATCATTTGTGGTTGATGACGGTTGATTGAAAAGTTTAGCATGCAGAAAAATTACAAAAATTTATAATTAAACATTGAAAAAAAGTTTAATATTTATAGTTCAACAATCTTAAAACTTGAACAAAATTCTGTAACAACACCCACCAAATTAATAATGATCAAATGATCAAAAATAAATGAGAGGTTGAACTCTAAAAATCACAAATCAATCTGGAATTGCTCTACATATTTTTTATTTTTTTATTTTATCACATATAACCTATGATTTAAATTGGTGTTGATTATCAATTATTGTGGTGTTTGTGTTGATTTTGTATTCATCTCGTTTTTTATTTTGAACAAGCAAGCAACACTTACGCAGACAAATTTGAATCAAAGTGAATTACAATGAATAGTAAGGAATCACAATGGAATAATAAAATTCACTCAAATTAGGATTCACATTCAACAACACCAACCATATCGTTTTTGTTTTTTTATTGAAACTTGTATGGAATTGTATGAATTCTAACAATGGTTCCAAGTTCTTTATTCTAAGTTCATACAAATCCAATCAGGTTGCAGAAACTTGATCACCATCTTGTATAGAAAGAACTCCATTGAAGGATTACCCAATTTGTAAGTAGAAAACTATTTTTTGTGCTAGTATATCCGTGCAATAAAAACTCTGAAAAAATTCCTTCACAACTAGCAACAAGTATATATTACTCTGCATCAAGACCAGAGCTTCAAACTCTCACCTCTTAGTGCTTGCAACTCATCAATGAGCTGATTCAATGTGTGCCAAGAAGAGCCTCCCTCCTCCATAGCCTTCCTTGCAGCCTCACCGAACTCCCCCACCTTCTTCCTCACCCCCTTCCCCATCTCACCTTCCATGAGCTCTCTCACCATTTTCTTCAAACCTTGCCACTTGACAAAACCCCTCACAGACCCATTGCTAGTTTCAACTCTCAGCCCCACTTTGATCTCCTCCACCACCATCCTTGCATTCAGATGCTGCTCTGCCATCATGGGCCATGCCAGGATTGGAACTTTAGCGCATATGCTCTCCATCACCGAGTTCCAACCACAATGACTCAAAAACCCCTTAACACACTCATGTCCTAGAATTGCTCTCTGATCAACCCATTCTCTAACCACAATCCCTCTCTCCTTAACTCTCTCTTCAAACCCATCAGCAAGTTCTGATCCACTTTTCCTCACAACCCACAAGAAGCTCACTTTTGATTCCTCCAAACCAATTGCGATTTCCCGCAACTGTTTGGGAGATATCTCTGCTTGAGACCCAAATGCTACGTAGAGAACCGGGCTTCCTTGGGCTAGTTTTTTATCAAGCCAGTGCATCCATTTCGGGTTCTGGTAGGGTTGAAGTTTGTTACTTGGCTGTTCTGCCAAGCACAGAGGCCCTACGGTCCACGCTTTGGGTTCGCATTTATTGTTCCAGTAATCTATGAACTTGGACTCGAGCTCTTCGAAGCTGTTCATAATTATACCGTAGCTTTTTGCTGTTGCAATGGATTGCTCCATAACAAAGTCAATGTGAGGACCTTTCGGTTCTCGGACATTGAAGGGCTCATCAAAGTCGTTTCTGCGGAGCTTGATCCACGGGAAGCTAGGCACGGTTAGTATTTCATCGTCTGACTCGGGTCCCGAAAGTAGACGATTCACGCCCACTTCTCGGCACACACACATGGAGTAGTAGCTCCACCCGTAAGAGGCAAGCCGTGGGATGCCAAACTTGGTTGCTGATTCAAGGGTCCAACTGAGGAAGCCGTCAGATATAAGGCATGTGACATTGGAGAGAGCTTCCAATGCTTTTTCTAAGTCAGGTTGAATGTGTTTCGTGGCGTTGGCGAATGGCACGAAGAGGGACATGGAAGGGAGTTTGTCGGTGCTCTCAACTCCGGTAGGTAATTCGTCAATGTTTTCAGGGAAAGGAAGGTCGATAATGGAGGCATTTGTGTTTGCAAGAGAAGCGGAGATGAAAGGATGGTTTGCAGGGGTGGTGAAAATGGTGACGGTGGCGTTGCGGTGGAGGAGGAGTCTGGCGAGGTGGAGAATTGGGATGGTGTGGCCTTTGGACATGAATGGAAAGAGGACTATGTGAGGTGCACAAGGTGAAGAAGCCATTCTTTCTTTCTCTGTTTCCCTTGTTTGTTGAGAAGCTCATACTCCTATAGCATTACTGATATATATATATATATATATATAGAAAAAAGAGTGAGACCTCTAAAAGTTGAGTTCTAAATGAGCATTAAATTGTCTTTTTCCTACCTATATTTTGTCTTTTACCTCTCTTCTTTTTTTCTTTTTTTTTTTAAATGGTGCCAGCTCATTAGAGCTGTTTGAGGACAGCTCTAATTAGAGCTCTTTAGCAAAACCCATATATATATATATATAGGAAATGCTTTAGGGGTGCATGCCAACCTTTTACAAAATGTATAATTTAATCATAAAATTTTATAATACTAATCCCAAAATATATAATAAATTCATCATAAGTTAGTGTAACAAAATGAGGACCCCATTTTGAGAAATGCCATGGTGTGTACTACTAAAAAGGTGTATACCATATATATTTTATTGTAAATGTGTAATTTTATCATAAAATTCTGTAACACTAATCACGAAATACATAATTACGTCATAAATTGACGTAACAAAAAATGTCATAATTAAGTCATAAGTTTTTAAAATATCAATCACAAAATTTTAGACATTTTATTATATCAATTTATAACAAAATTATATATTTTATAATTAATATTAGAAGTATGCATAAGTCGATCGAATATTAGAAGCCATTTGATTAGATCACATTTATTTTAAAATTAATTAACGGACATCAACTATTCAATCAGATAACATTTGTTTGAAAAATATTTAATAAAACTATTGATATCCGATCAACTTAATTTTTTATAATCTTTCTGTCCCAAAATAATGGCTCCTTTTGAAAAATTCAACTTTTTTTTGTAGTACAATTATTGCATTTTAAAAAAATTAATTTTTCAAAATTACCCTTTAATAGTATATTTTTTGAGAAATATCAATGTCATAATTGTACTTTTTATACTATTAATAAATTTAAAAGAAGGACAAAATAAAAAAATTATATTATTTCTATACTTGACTTTTGAAAATTGACTAATATTTTAGGACAATAAAAAATAGAATAAAAGACTAATATTTTAAAACGGAAGAAATATATATAACATTTTAAAAATATTTTATAAAATAAACAATTTAAATTATCATTCAAAATAAGTCAACAGTGAATCAGACTCGACAATCTAATCATAATATTTTAATGGAGATAATCCAATTTTTTATTTCCAACTCAATTGATATATGGAAAATGTTATAAATTTTAAATTTTTTATTAAATAAATTATTAAATATTTTGCATGAGTGTGAATCTTATATTTTTATAAATTCTATATTTATATAAGATATTTAATTATTTATTTAATAAAAAATTTATCTCTACCATTATTTTTAAAAGATTAACCGTCTGTTTTGGTATCTTCCTCATAAATTTTCTGGAACGTGTGATTTGATTTTTTAATATGCACGAATCGAGAACACGTAGCATATTTCCTCTTTCAACAATGATAAAGATCACTAATTTTGGAGCTCTAAAAAGACCACTAATTACATGGCATTCAATAAAAAAAGAAAAAAAATACAACACCAAGGCCAAAACATCAAATCATGCATGATGGGGCCTACTGCCACATCATTAGAGATAGCACTAATTAGTGCTCCCACTCATTTTCCTTTCCTCTTTTTTGGTCTTTTTCTCATAACTTCTAGAATTTGTGCTTGATTTGATGGTAACGTACTAACGTGTAAGAGCATTTCCGGTGGGTTTATTAAGGCATTGTTTGGAAAGGCTAAATAAGTATATTTTTTAATTTTTTATAAAATATGGGTTGGGTTTAGGTTGGGTTTGAAGTGATGTGTTAGAGAGGTGATGTGACTTAAATAAGATGATGTGACTTAAATTGAAGTGATGTGTTAGAGAGGTGATGTGACTTAAATAAGATGATGTGACTTAAATAGGATAGTGACTTTTTGACTTTTTGTCTTTTTTCAATCTTCCCAAACGTTTCGCGTTGATTAATATAATTAATTTTTTTGTATTAATTTTTTTTTTTATCTCATTTGATTTTTGTTTTGAAGTTTTTTTTTTATTTTTGTAAAAAAAATATAATAATTATGGTTTAAATGTGATATTTTGTCTTATTAACTTATATAACTTATTTTATTTTATTTTAGTTTTGTATTTTTTTAGCCTCAATGAGAAAACCAAACAAGGACTTAATCTACTAGTTAGGTTTATTTTTAAAAGGAAAAAAACTTAGACCCCCTTTTGTCTCTCATTGGTCAGATTTTTTTTTTTCTCCTCCAATCACCACCCGCCACGTGTCTGTAGGGGGTGTAAAAGGAAAAAAACTTAAGACCCCCCACCCCCTCTGTCTCTCATTGGTCAGATTTTTTTTTTTCCAGTTTTTTTTTTTTTTTTCCTTCTCCTCTAATCACCACCCGCCACGTGTGTGTGGGGGTGGTGATTGGAGAGGGTCTCTATCAATGCTCTTTTTAAAAAGGTAAATTATAAGGCCTCGTTTGGATAGTTATTATTTTAGTCAAAAAATTAAAATGTCGTTATAAGTTATATTATTTTTTAATTTTTTTATATATATTTTTATAAAAATTCAAAAAATTACTAAAATAGTTTGTTTCCAAACGAGACTTAAATATATCTTTTGAGGTTTACTTAAAGTATAAATTATTTTTTGTAATTTGAAAAATTACAAATATCCTATTGTCAGAATTTTTTATTTAACAGAATTAACTAAAAAAATAAAATGTATAATTGCTCACCTATACAATAACAAAATTACTTAAATTATTAATTGAAGCATATTTCTAACATTATTAAAAACTGTTAATTGAGTTGATAATTTATTGATAAAATGGACGATTTGTTATAAAATTAAAAATCATAAGGGTAGAATGTAATTTCCAAAATCACAAGGGTTATTCGTATTTTAATTAAATTTTAGGGGTGTATTTACAATTTATCCTTTTGAAAAATAGTTCAAAAGTTAGTTTTTAATTTATTTTTTTTAAATATGTAAAAAAAATAGAGTTATGATTTAATTAAAAAAAGTTAAAAAATTAACTTTTTAACTTTTAACTTAATTGTCAAAATAGGCCTTAGTATCCTAAGAGCATAATGGCAAGTCATTGGAGCTGCTATTGCTATAATTTGGGAGCTGCAGTAGAAAAAAGTGTGCTTCAAGGGTTTGAAATAGCAGCTGCCAAATTTAACACAAACTTTAGCAGCTGTCATTTGTGTCAATGAAGGAGAAAAGCAATTGTTTCCCTCCCTCCGTCCCATTTTTATTCATCTTCTTAGACCATTTCAACAACAACAATGTCATGCACAGAATAAAAAATACAAAAATTGATCCATCGGACTTTCGCGCCGAACGTCTAGTGGAACAAATTCGACGTTTCTTTCTCTGTGCATGGCATTGTTGTTGCTGAAGATGAACAAAGTTGGCTTTTTGACTTTTTTGAAAAGTTGGTAAAAAGTTGACTTTTTGACTTTTTGGACAAAAAGCTGGATTCGTTTGGATAAAAAAATTGACTTTTTTGGCTAAAAAAACAAAAAAGCCAAAAAACTGACTTTTTACAATGTTGCCAAAATGCTCCAAAAACTCATTACCAAAATAACAAATGATTATTGAAATACCATTATTATAACTTGATAATTTAATAAGTCCTGTTTCTAACTGTTTAGCTACTTCTGTTCAATCGTCTTCCTTGTTTGTTTAATTAATCCTGTTTTCAGTTCATCTTAATCACCCACAAGATCAGTCTAATAAAATGTATAATTGCTCACCTATACAATAACAAAATTACTTAAATTATTAATTGAAGCATATTTCTAACATTATTAAAAACTGTTAATTGAGTTGATAATTTATTGATAAAATGGACGATTTGTTATAAAATTAAAAATCATAAGGGTAGAATGTAATTTCCAAAATCACAAGGGTTATTCGTATTTTAATTAAATTTTAGGGGTGTATTTACAATTTATCCTTTTGAAAAATAGTTCAAAAGTTAGTTTTTAATTTATTTTTTTTAAATATGTAAAAAAAATAGAGTTATGATTTAATTAAAAAAAGTTAAAAAATTAACTTTTTAACTTTTAACTTAATTGTCAAAATAGGCTTTAGTATCCTAAGAGCATAATGGCAAGTCATTGGAGCTGCTATTGCTATAATTTGGGAGCTGCAGTAGAAAAAAGTGTGCTTCAAGGGTTTGAAATAGCAGCTGCCAAATTTAACACAAACTTTAGCAGCTGTCATTTGTGTCAATGAAGGAGAAAAGCAATTGTTTCCCTCCCTCCGTCCCATTTTTATTCATCTTCTTAGACCATTTCAACAACAACAATGTCATGCACAGAATAAAAAATACAAAAATTGATCCATCGGACTTTCGCGCCGAACGTCTAGTGGAACAAATTCGACGTTTCTTTCTCTGTGCATGGCATTGTTGTTGCTGAAGATGAACAAAGTTGGCTTTTTGACTTTTTTGAAAAGTTGGTAAAAAGTTGACTTTTTGACTTTTTGGACAAAAAGCTGGATTCGTTTGGATAAAAAAATTGACTTTTTTGGCTAAAAAAACAAAAAAGCCAAAAAACTGACTTTTGACAATATTGCCAAAATGCTCCAAAAACTCATTACCAAAATAACAAATGATTATTGAAATACCATTATTATAACTTGATAATTTAATATTATTTATTATTAAATTATAATAATAATAATGTTGTAATAGTATTTGTCATTAAAGATGTTGTTGTTTGTTATAATAGTATCTTCTTTTATTACTTTTATTTGTTAATTTTTAATTTTAATTTGTTATGGTCTAAATACTTATTGTGAAATTAATTTTTTTATGATTGTTTAAATTCTAGAACAGTATATCGTCATTATAGAAAGATATGTTACTATTGTGGAACTAATTTGATACTATATTTATATTTTTATGAAGTTAAAATGTTCTATATATATTTTTTTGTCATTTAATTATGTAAATTCGTAATTCTAAATCGATCCAATCCGTGTTTAAATGAATTAATTTGAAACA